AAATTACTGAGCAAGCGTCAAATACTCTAGTAGTAGGAGATCCAAATTACGTTCACTAAAGTACCAAGGTATTTATTGGATGGTTAAATACTTTCAAACTCAATACTTTATGAATTAGGTGAAATTTAAAAAACTAACACCTTACCTTACACTCACCTCAATTTACCTTACCACGACTCACTTCACGTCACCTCAAATCAACTCACCAAACAAAAACTCACCATATCTCTACCTACCACACCTAAATTCACCAAAGCTTAACTTACCACAACCTAACTAATCACATCCGTTCTCACCACACCTTATCTAAACTCACCACACCTCAATTTGGGAACTATTTCGGGATTGTAGAGATTCTCAGGACTAAATCAGGGTTTTCAAGACTATTTTGGGATTCTCGAAACCAACGTAATTCGCAGACCTTTTTCGGAATTTTCGTTGTATTTATCTAGTTTCATATCGATAAATTCATAAATTTTTCAATATACATATTTACCCATATATTTATCGATATTTTGGTAATTTTCCTTATATATTTATCGATAATTTTATGATATATTTATTGCTAAATTTGACTATATATTTATCGATACTTTTATCGATATATTTTTTTAAATTTACATCGATATAATTGCGGATATTTATCGATATATTTAGTATCAAAAAACTAGAAATAGTCCCTGAGTTAACTCTAACGTTGGTACCGAATAGAAAATTCAACATGATACTCCCAATAGGTAAATATTGGGGAATATTTCTGCGCTCCGCCTGCTAGAACTTTTGGGAGTTTTCTCGTGAAATCCCATCTTCAGCTACTCATTTATTAGCCTGCTGTACTGTCTTCTAAGCTGAGAAACGAAAATAATTGGTCAGCATACTTTTATTTTCATTGTCAGTCAAGCTGTGTTTAGGACTTTGAGCTCTTTCATCGTTAATTCAATAATTGTGCTGAACTGTCGCCGTTCGCTTGGATATGGCTTTTCCAAAATTTTTCTTTGAATTGTTCTCGCTATGTTTTTTACACTGGCTTCACCGTGGTTATTGCAACTTCCCCGCATTTTTTTTCCGAAAACTTAATGCCACAACCAAGCCAATGCAGGCATGTAGCTACATAATATGTATTTCCTCATGCCACCGATCCGTGGGTTATATCCTCATTTCTTCCTTAGTGTTCATCTAGTTAACTGCACTATCTAATCCAGCACTTACTTTCTTCTTGTTTATTTCCACTTTTCAAGCTGCTTTGTTTTTTTTCGCTTTCTCATGAGGCACACCACCCCCCTAATGGCATTTGTATAATTATGGGATCAAGTGGGCATGGCTAATCGATTTTAACCCCTGGGCTGTGATGTGGTCTACTCTGCTGATTTTTTGTTGTTGGCAGCGTTGTTTGTTAGCTCACCTTCGAAGCTATGTTCGGGGGTTGCTCAGCGAAAATGTGCGATTTACAGAAATTAAAATCCTCTTATCCTTTTCGGTGCTGGTAAGTAATGAACCAATCAGCCAACCAAACTTATAGCGGCAGAAATTCCAAATACCATGCGGTAACTTTGCTGAATGACCTTTTCTTTCTTGCCGGTAATCGATGACGGTAATAAATGTAATTATTAATTATGTACGCTACTCTGCCTTGCACTCACTCCCATTGGGGTGCGTCGTCCTTTCGTTCGTTGATCTTCTTGACCATATTGCACGCGTCATCTGCTGCTGTTCAATTTTCTTTTGTTTCAACTTTTTTTTTGTTATTGTTTCAGCGGGTAATCGAGGGCAATGACGCAGAGAAAATGGAATCAAACACATGTGGGGGGTTTCCGTGTTATTATCATTCATGTATTCTTACTTCCGTAGGCAAGTTGTATTTGTGGGCGCTTCATGCGCAACTGAAAGTTTGAATTTTTCAATAATACTTACAAAAACATAAATACATAATTATGTATGTATGTATGTATTTATATACTGGGAACACCCTCTTAAATTATTATGTGGATTGAAAAGTTTTGAAATAAACTGCATTCTTTTATACGTACAGTGACGAGCAAAACTGTAACATGGTTTAACACATTTTGTTTCAGCCACCGCTATATTTCCAAGTTCTAACGACTTTCATCCTTTTGTTGAATATTCTTGTTGGTACATCCCTACTCCCTCTCTCATAATGATTTGAAGTCNCTTATATTGATTGTCTATCAAGCGTTCGTAACCCATAATCAATTTTTCCAATCCACGTGTCCTTAATTCGTTTATTTTTTATGTTTTTTTTTGTAATAATTTTACGTAGTTTAAAATTTGTTGGCCTTCTCATTTTTCCACTTAACTTCCTACAAAATTCTATATTTAAATATTTTCTGTTTCTTCTTCTTTTCCAGTTTAAAGCCGCCGCCCAAGGATGGTGTCACCAAAAGTAATCCATCGAAACGTCATCGCGAACGCCTCAACGCCGAATTGGACTTGTTGGCCTCGTTGCTGCCATTCGAACAGAATATTCTCAGCAAATTGGATCGACTGAGCATTTTAAGGCTGTCTGTTAGTTATTTAAGAACAAAAAGTTACTTTCAAGGTAAGTGACATGAACTAGTACCCCCACTTTGAAGCCAAGAAAATAATATAATTTAGGCCGTGTTTGCTCTTAAAAGGCGATAGTGTCTGCATTGTGAATGAAATAAAAAAATTTGAATTCTCAATTTACATACGGTAGCGAAAATAACACTAGGGACCCGACATTTCATCTAACCTAACTATGTATGTCGGAATTTTAAACTTTCATTACATATAGTTTTAAGAGTTTTTAGTGCGAGCTTGAAGTGACTATAAAATACTATTTTTTTTTTGGTGTAACGCATTTTTACCATACAAAATATGTTGGGATACAAACCTGAATAACCAAAATGTTTCTTGTCTATTTCTCAATTTTCAGTTTTTTTATCCCTTCACTAAACTCATTCTCCAGATTAAAATAATGCAAACACATTATTTTCCAAAAATAATAAAAATATGGAAAAGTTCGCGATTTTCACTGAAAGTATTCTTTTGATAATGAGTGACAACAGTGCGAAATTTCATGCTTCTAGCTGCATACATGAAGCAGTTATAACGAAAAATCTCATATCTGAACAATCAGTTGTATGAGAGCTATATGTTATAGTGGTTCGATTCTTACGGTTCCGACAAATGATTAATACATTATAAAAATACACCAACCTACCAAATTTCATCCGGATATCTCGAAAACTGAGAGACTAGATTGCATACAAACAGACAGACAGACGGACAGACAGACAGGCGGACAGACAGACGGACAGACGGACATTTAAGTATACATTTTAATGGGTCTATCTATTCTAATTCTGGTACTTACAAACATCGGATCAAAGTTAAAATACCATTTCATGCTCATGAAAGGTATAAAAAGAAGCAAAGGAGAACGGAGTAGGGTGAAAAGCGTTGATGAAAAAAAAAAAAAAATAGTTACCTTAGAAAAAACTAAAACATTCCAGCCCAGAAATTTCGTATGGAAATTTAAACTTTCAAAAAACTCAACATATAAAATCCGTTGCTTTTTTACAGCAATTTTGTAACCAATGTACAATATCTGCCCACGATAAAAAATCTAATTGGACATCCCAAACCCCCGACATTCACGAGTGCCCAACTCACGGTTCTAGGGTTATGCGTTTTATTTATTTTCATTTTCTACATTATTAACTTTTATTATTCGGAGTTTAGGATTTGCCGAGGATGAATAATTTATTAAAAACAATAAATTTAATCCAGTTTATACAAAATACCTTCATAGCCAAAAGTACTGATACGAGTAGGTATCGACACTTTAGATCCGATATTTTTCGGGTACCGATACTTTCATACAATACTACTTCCAAGTAAAGATATCGATACCTGCATGGTGTCGCTTCATCCCTAGCGAACATCGCTGTTGTCATTTGAAGGTTAAAGGGATGCTCCCCAAAAGAATATAACACCTACTTAAAGGCAAGAGCAAGAATGATACATGTGGAAGTACAGAGGTGAAAAATACATTTTTGCATTTTTTGGTATAATATATAGTGGATAGGCAGTGCTCTTATACCAGATGAAAGTCTAGGATGGTATTGGGCCGGAATGGTCTTTCTTTTTAGTACTCAAAATCCAACAATCTGATTGCGTTGGTAGCAACTGGATTTTCGATAAAGAGATCAGTAGCCAGCTAGATTAACCTAAACTTTCTTGGACTGCTTTTATTTACTAAATGAATGCATTTTTTGAGTTTCTCATACAAAGAAACATTCTTAAGAACCAAGCCACGAGTATTCAACATAAAATATTTCCGAAGCAAATTAGCTCAAACTACTGAAACATATCAGATAACAAAAACCTGCAGATTAATCCACGAGTAAATTAACACTTTGACCTCTGACCAGCTGGTTGCAAAGGTCATTCACATACACGTTCTGGACCATTAACTCTTTCGCGGAGTGGAGAATGACAGGGAATAAATGACCAAAACACAAAGTAAACAAACAAACAAAACGGCAAACAACAGGCGAGTGCAAGGATAAGGTAAATGGCAGAGGGCAAACAGTGAATTATAAAGGACATTTTTGAATACACACACACACACACACACACACAGACTCATATGCAAGGAACACGTACACTTAGCGACCAAGCGACACACGCCTCGAAACAAACAAGCAAACAACTGACAGTGAGACGGTCGGAACGAGAAAGGAAGCGATAAAAACAAGACGCACGGACGCGTGGCGAACACATTAAAATCGTATAAAAATTGTAAATATTTATGCTGTTGTCGGGCTAGCTACCGATCAAAATGGAAACTCCAGAGAGAAAATATGCTTGTAGTTCAAAGAAAAAAAAAACTACTTTGTCACATTTTCAGCGCAGGTTGCGAGGGGTGCAAGCATTTCCATGCGTGGGTGCAAATTCCAAAGGATCATTCCGAATAGAAAACATTTTTGTAATGAGCTCCGGTTTTAAGTAACCGAAAGTTCGAAGTAAATTAAGGAAACATTAAGCGGTTAAGATCAGAGCGGAAAGGGAGGGGAATTGAAGAACGGGAAGCCGGCATATGTCGAAGGAAAACTTTTACTGGTATCGAAAAATTTTGGTTGTAATTTTTATTGAGTTTGAAAATTAAGCGGCACACAAGCGCCACGTGCCGTAGATTTGCAAAAGAGCGAACGACCGTGCAGCAGCAACGCTACAGGATGTGCGGCGACAATTACGAAAGAGGACAAGCGTGTGGCCGCAGAAGATGTGGCTGCTCGAAATGTATTTGTTTTTGTTATATTTAGTCTATTTAGAAATTAATTGTTGTTGTTATTGATGAACTCACAAACACGATTGACCGCTAATTGTCAAAATATTTACTCGACAACAAATGGAGTGTATGGAGAGTGGCGATTTGCGGCGACAGGACTAACCTAGAACTGCAAAAACAAAAATGAATATATGTCTCTTTGACTACCCACATTTTGTTGTTACTATTTGAATTGGCAAAGCCGCCATTCGGCACGTGATCAAGTAATTTATTAAGGCGGCGACATCATTCACTCAGTTCGCAAGCACTTCATTTACTTATTTACTTACTTATGTAGCTGGCGGCCCATTCCACTGCAGCTCAGCCATGCCAACCCAAACTTTTTACCTCGGCTCCGCACATTACTCTAATCTTCTCTAGCCATAGCTGTACTATTGAGATATTAAGTTGTCAATAAGGATTTGCTGCCTATTGTTGCCAAGTATCTGTGTTTATGTTTACTTTGGAAAGAGTTGAGCGGACTGCTGAAATTTATACTAGTAAAGCTGCTTTGACTGGCTGCGGCTGGTCATTGGCCATTTGTTGTCGCTTCGTATTAACTTATTCTTTCAGTTTCTCATTACTTACTTCTGTTATTTGCTACTTTATTTACTCTGATGTAATTAATCTTTAAAAGAAAGCAATTAATTGAATTACCGTCAGTTGACAGTCGACTTAATGTTCGCATGGAAACTAAGAGCTATAAAAACTGAGGTAATGGAGTTGCAATTAAATTTAGGCGATCAAAAACAAAATAATAACTAATATTTTTTTTTTAATTAATCAATTTCGACATTTGTAGTTTGTAGCTTTAAATTTGGGGAATTCAATATACAAACGATTTTGATTAGCACATTCTTATTGAGGATAAAGTTGCATTAAATTACCAAATTCAGTTTTGCAGCTAGTATTATCTTCTCCAACAATAGATTAAAGAAGTTGCGTGAAAGGGGGGCGTCCTGTGTGAAACCTCGTTTGGTATCAAACGGCTCGGAGAGGTCTTCGCCAACTCTGATGGGGCTGGTGGTATTGCTCAAAACTATTTTACACAGCCGAATTAGTTTCGCGGGGATGCCGAATTCAGGCATCACCGTATATAGGCAACCCATTTTAGTAATATCGAAAGCGGCTTTGAGGTCGAAAAATAGGGGGAGAGTGGAGAGTGTCGAACCTTTTCTCGCGGGCCTTTTCCAAGATTTGGCGTATTGTGAATACCTGGTCTATGGACCTTGTAACCTATGCTTAGAAGGCTGATCCCCCGGTAGTTGGCGCGAATGGCGCCGTCGCCTTTCTTTTGCTGTATGAGTATTTATACCAACTGTCTGGGAATTTATATCCAATTTTATGAATATCAGGCTGAAATACTAGCTGACAGAATACTGCGTCCTATGCCGAAATTGTTCAATGATGGCTTTTGGCGATGGTATTGGATTGATAACTTCTGCTTCAAAGTTACCAATGTCTCCACAGCCAGTGTATATCTATTATTCTCTACGAAATAATTCCAGTTATCACCTTTATGAAATCTCAACCCATGAAAGCCGTAATTGGGTTACAAACCAGCTCCACAACATGCATAATGGTTTGGATGTCTCATGAGAACCCAGTCGCTGTTGAATAGCGTTTTCAGAGAACAAGTATGAGAGCCAGGTGGGGAACATGCCGTTCGCCTGTTGCGAAACCAGCTTTGCGGTGTTCCGATATCTTCCCGTTGCTGGACGATCACTTTTGCTACACTCATTCTCATGAAAAAAAAACCAACATTGAGGTTCCGCTTCTATACACGACAGCTTTAATAGAGGTCACAATGTACTATGGCCTTCTTATTTTGCGGTGGTATAGGGCGGTGTTGCCTGTCGTTTCTTTTAAGGGTACGTCAATCCGCCGTGTTCAATAAGGTTTTACTTTTTCGAAAAGAGTTGCCACCTGTTAAGAAATTAGGCTCCATTTATTTAAAATGTTAAATCGATTATTATATATAGATATATAAGGATATCAACCGAAATGGCGATAAAAGGCTTTATATATTAACTACGTGTAGGGGAGTTGCCACATGTTTAAAAAATATTCAATTTCAATATAAAGAATTCGGTAAGTGAATAAGGTATTACCATATGGGTGTCAAAAAAAGAGAGGTTTACTAAGGTAGTAGTTTGAAAAAAATTTAAAGAGGGTTGCCACCTATTTGAGAAGTCAAATGAAATTATTTTACACCCAAGTTATAATAATAATACATATGTTAG